AGCACAATTATCGTCCAGCAAAATTTGTTATCGTGACAGGCCTATCCTGCTGTAATTTTGGGGATATTTTTTGTGGAAAACACAAAACAGGGCAGCAGCTTAACTGACACCTTCCCCCTTACACAAGTTTAGGCCCAAAAGATGATGAAAAAAAGCCAATCTTGTTACTGATGTTCTTGTTTGCTTTTGTACATCATGAAAAGACAAAAGCAAAAGATGTCGGTCTATTTCATAGACTCCCCCCTACAGCTTTAATTTTTTTTTCACAGGATTTTGCATGAGACTCAGCAGTTAAACCCCAGCTATTGTCTCACCCGCTGGTCTTCTCATTTATACTCCCCTCCCCTCCCCCCGACATCTTGCAATCATCACTATCCGCCCTTTTCTCCAACCTTCCCTGCTTTGGCCTCACATCTCTCGTATCGGACAGTCTTGTGTTAAACGACTGTGTAGGAATTTAAACAAAACAAAGGGTTACAAAAGCATCATTGTTAATTACCTTTCATCATATAACTGGCTGAAAAAGCTCCCACAGGAGCGTCAAAGCAACAAGTCATAGTGGCTACAGTCCCAAAAGACAGGTATCTGTTATCAAAGGTTTTCTTCAACCTTTACTCCCTTAAGAGCCTTACTTCTGGTTAAATATGCTGTAAATATACCAAATCAAAGCATTTCATCAGCGTGTCAAATTCATCGATTTATAGGAGACTGCATTACAGCCACCAGAGCTCAGGCAACAACAAAAAACGAGTCACCGCCCTAATGTCTTCTGACACACTTTAAGATTCTCCTGCTGTGAGCTTCTTTCTTTCTTCTGTGAGCTTCTCAACTTTCACAGTCTCTTCAAAATTATTGAGCTGAGCTGACAGCTTATTCTCTTAGAAAAAAAAAAACGATATATAAAAATGTCAGTCTGTGTCAGCCGTAGCTCATGGCCTCGCATCCCTGTGGAACACAGACTAATTCAGTCCATTTACTTTGAAGCACTGCAACACTTTGCTAAGTCACAAGCCCTCGCAAAGACCGACACTGCAACACAGAGAGACAGCTATCGATCAGAGCGAGCCTGTCAGATGTTGGAGGGAAAGAGGCTCCCTGGAAAGCACCGCTAACAAGCTCTGCTAGCAGCTTTTGATTCATTGGCATCAGGGAAGGAAAGGAAGATGTAAGTGATGTGGTATGGTAAATGTGCGGTTTAGCATCACAATCAATGAGAACAGCAGCAGCACTCTGTTGTTAGAGATTTACACAAACACACACACACAGACACGCACACACATTCCCCAAGCAAAATCGTTTTTGGAGTAGAGGCAACAGAGAAGTGAGTGTATTGAGATCTAATCAAATATCCACGCTGAGCCAGTGTATTGACCAGAATTTCAAGGCAGAATTACTCGTGTTCCTCCCTTGTTAGTTCACTGCCTCTGCAGAAAATAGATATTTTGGCTGAGGAGAGAGGAGTGAGAGAAAGACAGATAGGTTCATCATACTCCGCTCACACAGTCATGTTATAGCCCATAAAAGATAAAATAGTAATAATAAAACACACCCTCCATGTGGTTATCAACAGTGCAGGAAATACAGACTTATTTCAGATTTTAAGATGAAAAAGTAAAAGGTTTCCAGCAGCTCCGAACATGATTAATCAACTTTTTTTTTTGTGCCATGAAAATTGAAAAAAGTCCTCTGAGAAATAATGTGAATTTATGCAGCCTAGGTCCAACAGGTTATTTCTTCCTTTTCCAAAGGTTAATAACATTTAAATGACTTGTATTGTCATTCATATAAAGCTATAATTACTTATTTGATGAAAACTAACCCAGAAAAGAAAGAACTTTGAATTTGAAGATCCATGATGACTTAAAGGAACAGTCATAAAGACTATCAAAAAAGAAAAACTGAGCTGACAAACGGACTAAAAGCAGCTTTATTCACATTTAATGTTCAAAACTATTAGTCCTAGTGTTACAGTCGCAATTTACAAGGGTGTACTTTAATCAGGAGAGAGAATGAAAGATAAATATTTGTAATACAGAGAGGATTTAATTGCATGAATTGTCAGTCTCTTTGGTGCTTCAATTCCTCTGGGAGATATGGGAATTGAGGGGTTTCTGCCCAGAGCAAAAGCAAAACCTTACCCCCTGTTAAGACCAGGCACTGGCGGAGGTGTTGGCTGATGAGATGATGAAGCTGAACAAAACCGTGCAGACTGGGTGGTAGCGGGGAAATGGCTGATGAAGCTGAAGAAGTGGTAATGGAGAGATTGCTGACGTTCACATTTACAGCTGATTTAACAGATGAGACTGTGAAGACGAGGCAGTGATGGGGAGGTGAAGGGCTGCATATAACAAAAGCATGAACGATCTGGAGAAAGAGGAAGCCATATTTAAAACAGACAGGAGCAATATGACCGGATTATAATGGAATAAGGATGAGTTGCACTGCTACTGAATAGATATGTCCAGGTGATGGGAATATCCAATGACAAATGACATCAGGGAAAAATGCCTGAGCATTTGCAGAGGACAGACCACAATTCATGGATCACAGTTAATAAAACAGCCAGTGGAATAAAGTCTTCATGACTGAGCTTTCATTAAAGCACCATGATATCTTTTTACTTGATTTGAGGCCTAAGGTTTTATATGTCATAACATTAAGAATTTAGCCAACACACCAAATTGGAGGCTTGATATCAGCTGTCACAGTATATGTATTTTTTTAATGAATATTTTAACATTCTACTTATTCACTAAATGCAAGGATAACCTTAGGATCGGGAAATCGGTGTAGCCCCCAAATTCCACCGCATCCAGAAAGGCTACGAAAAGACTGTATGCGCAGATCGCAGCTGAGCGTTTCCATTCAAGTTAATGTGTCAATTTCCACCGGCTTCTTTCCATTCCGCTGTGGTTCAGCAGACTCCGCAGCCAGAGTTGTATTTCTTCCAGATGCCGCAGCATGCCGCATAAATCCAGCACAGATTAGCCCGTGCTGGAAACTAAGTCTCGGGCACAGACACCAAATAAAGCATCCAGCTTCTTTTCAAAATTAAACACTACGTGTTTCAGGCGGATCGTTTTTCACACCATGTAAACTGGCCAGGACAAACAAGTGAAATGGTTTTAGACTACATTTCACCCTGTTGACACCATGGATGAGGAGATGCTGATTCTAGAAGTTTAGAAGTGAATTTCCTCCCCTGGAAGGACACAATCTACTGCTTTTATGGTTATGTGGCTGTCTTTATAGAGAAAACTCGTTATCGCGCAATTGCATGGGGTTCCTGTGAGTTCTCGCAATTACGGCTGTCTGAAATCCGCCATAAAATTTGTCTCACAAATGCATCTGGTAGGAATTGGTGAAAATTGGTGACTGTGAAAATCCCTGCTGTTCCGTGGCGGAGCTGTTCCGGATGCAATGGAAATTGGGGGTAAGTAAGTGACTCAACATTTAAATAGGCCTCAAATTAGCCAAAAGAAATCCACCAATGTCACTGTTTTCTTCCACCAATTTCCAGCAGAAATTTGGCATTTCAAGCTCTTTTGAGTCCATTTTGACTTAGAGCACACCTGTTTCTGTGCTAAGTACTGATCTTGACCCGCCTTCTTTTGACAGTCAAATTTATCACTCATTTCTTTTAAATAATTCATTGATTTGGAAGATATAAAGGTGATGATTTGGGTTTGTTAAAGGCAGTTGACTGGCAGGTGTTGGCAAGGACACCTCAACTCCAGTTCATTGCCTCTTGGCAGGTCAACAAAAAGAATCAGTCAGCATTTCTAATATATAAAGAGAGCTGCTAAAAGACTTCGGAACTCTAAGCAACAAATGGATGACAACTCTGAGACTATGTCCATGTATTAATCACAGACTCTATATAGAATGGAAGCTGTCTGCCTCCTTTCTGGCTGAAGCCACCCCAAGAACAGCACCCTCTGGTGACAGGCTGCAGTATAGATCATAAATCCCGACTCCTCCAGCAAAGCTTATAGAGCTGTGGACAAACTTTAGAAATTTATTACACAGAATATAAATTCTTCTTCCTCCTGCTTGCGATGTTGACATTTAGTTATTGTAAGACTGGTTTGTGCTCTAGTCTTCTTTTTTCTGTGCAGCTCCATTTTTAAAAGTTATTAGGGGGCTCATGTTTTCTATGATTGACACTTGATAGAGCCTATGGGCGTACGGAGATGGGTAGGTCACCCGGGGCATGCGCTGATTGAGCCAAGCGTCATCACGGCGGCTCTCCCGTCAAATGCGTACAATGGTACTGCGCAAGTGGTGGAGAGCGTACAACACTACTGCGCAATGTTGGTGTTGCATCAAAACAACAAAGCAAAGTAAAATCCTTAATAGACCCAAGGCAAAAAAGAAAGCCAGCCAAGTTGTAAAATAAAAAATCAAACAATATTTCAGGTTTTTAAATCATAATTAAACTTTTATGTTGACATGGGAACAATATCTTTTTTTTCCTCTTAGTACTGTCTTTTCAAGAGTTCAAATCAAGTACAAGATTAATGATTACAACACAAATCACAAGATCAAATCCAAGAGTAAACTATCGGTTAAATTAAAATGAAAAACATTTGAACATCTTCAGGTGAAGATTTTTAATTATGAGCAGAGATAGTTGGTCTACTACCAGGGACAATTCCTGGTCTTAATCCTTGAACCTAAGGCAGTTACTTTCCAGAGTTTCCAAGAATTAAGATCTGCATGTGAAATGGCAACAGACCAAGAATATGCTTTTTAATATGGAAGCAAAGTCCCATTGTTAACACTAATTGGTACAGCTCACATAAAGAACTAAAAACATCATAAATATTCTATCTCTGCCATATCTCTGCTATATTGTCTAAAACTCAAGTACAACATTTCATACAAGAAAAAGCTCCTCCTTTTTCCACTTCTTTGTATTTTCCACCTTGATCATCTACTTGAAAACTCTGCCACGTTGCAGGCTGAGATGGACTGGCGAGTGGTTGACTGTGGAGCTACAGAGGGGATGTGTATATGTCAGGGAGGAGGACAGACCTCTAATTAGCTCCTGTCTGTCTCTTGGGAAAGGGAGGGGCTCTAAGACGCTGTCCCAACTTCCTAATGAGCGCACTGGAGACCATGGAGACAAACCCTCTCTAGCTCGAACACGAGCACACATTTCACACAGCTCAAACCGTTTGTCCCTGAAGGTCTCGCTTCTTTCTTTTTACCCCAACCTGTGTCCTTGCCTCTCTCTCTTTCCTTCCCGCTCTCTTTCAGGTATGTATTATATTCTCCCACTCTTGTAGCTCACTCTCCAACAACAACAAGCCACTCAGCTAGAGTTGGAGTGCGCATATTCCCCAGGAGACCAACACACAAAACCATGGAAACACACACACCAGACAAAAAAATCACTGCCCAGGTATTGGAGAGAGTCCCAGAATACGATGCCCCATTATTGCTCCAATGTGCCAAGTGAAACATCAATACACAGCTCCTTAAGCCCCCGCAGAGGAGGACTTAATCCGGAGCAATAAGACCACTGAAGGTAAAATATTACTTGAATGTGTGTGTGTACTTGTGCGGGCGATTACCCTCTCAGTTTGACAGAGAGAGCGGTGGGCTCATCATCTGTTGACTTGCGCAAGAGAGGAAGTCTGAGGAGGGAAATCATCGCCCCCCTCCCCTCGTACAGGAGATAGCTTGGTGGGCTGTGTGATGTTGGGGTTTGATTAAAGAATGCCTCTCATTAAAAGGTTCCCTCCAGTTACTAATCAAAGCAACGTCGATATCTGGGAATTAGCTCGCCAAACACTCTCATCCTGCTGTTTTTCACTCTCCCTCGCACTTTTGCTTACGGTCTGTCTTTTTCCTCCTCAACTCTTACTCCATTTCATGTACTTTTACAAGCAGAGTTGCCACTCTTTCTCTCTCTCTCTCTCTCTCGCTCACTCTCTCATCCTCTGAATCTCTCCCTTTTTCTCCTTCCTCTTTTTCCTTCCTCTCTCTCCCTCTCTTTTTTCTTTCTGTATCTCCTAAGCGTTGCCGCTGGTGTTGGTCTGCTTTTTGCTGGCAAATTAACCGGGAGAAGGAAGTCCCGGTGGTGCCAGGCCGAGTTAAACTTAAGTAAGGCCAGTCAGCTAAACAGTCACTGACAGGTCAAACAGTCACGGAGCTGCATTCCTATTCATACATGGGAAAATCTGCTGTATACTACAGAGCTGTCCACTACCACACTGAATGGAGCCGAATGGAAGTACGTCTTCAAAGTGAATATCTGGCTTTTGTTGTTTTTTTAAAAGATAATGACACAGCCCGTGGTCTGCAGGATATGTTTACCTTTTCATAGCATACTCCGTCAGCTGCTGAAAGGAAGACTGAGCTGATATGACAACTTCTGCATACGTCACTGAATGTGCAGGGCGAGCTTTAACCACCAGATATGTTAGGGTGACCATACGTCCTCTTTTACCCGGACATGTCCTCTGTTTTGGGGACTGTCCAGGCTGTACAGATTGTCCGGCTTTGTCTGGGGAAGTTTATAAAAGCCTTCAAATGTCTGTGGTTTTGTACGTAAGTTTCGATTTTGTGTCACGTGGACTTACTGAGTTAGAAGCGCATAAAAGACACTTGATCCATAGCCGAAAAACTCTCAAAATTAACTTTGTGCGACTCTGTGACTCTGCCCCCGCTTAGTCGTGCCCTCTATTTGGGGATTCAGAAAATGGTCATCCTAAAATATGTTATCCAAGGTTAAAGGTGTCTTGCTAAGATCTCAGTTAGAGTATATGATGAAAACTTCAACTCTTTTCAAAGAAATCTGGCATTTACAAAAGTGAAATTTTAACAGCAGTACACTTGTGGCTGCTCCCCTGTATGCTTTATCAGTCGTCTGTCTCTGCCTGACCTTTGTCATGTATTCAACAGAACACTTTTAAAGGTTTCTACCAAAATGCATGCACTCTCTTTGTATGATCATGCCCTTCACAAACCACAGGATACCACAGCTCCCATCTGAGCCTCCCTTTTTTCCCGCTCCTATCTCTCTCCCAGTTTGTAAGAGCGTCAGATTCACTCTCAGGCTGTGACAGACACACAGGGGTTGGAGTGGCATCAACAAAAGAGACTCGGCTCCTGTTGACTGATCTCTGCGTCCTTTTGTGTTAACACTGTTTTCGCGCAGCGTGTACAAAGCTACAAAGGTTTTCTGCTTCACACTCTGTTGGCTAATTGCATCAAAGCTTTTGGAGACTGTTGTCTCAGCCTCTCGTGTTTGTATAAGCATCAAAAGGAGAGAGCTTGAGCATGGGGAACCTGCACCAGATAGTATCTATCCTGCATAGAGGGACAGAAGAAGGCAGAAAACAGGAGGGTGTGACCGTGGTATTTGTTTGTCTCCTCACCTCATGTAACAAACAGAACCTGACACGACATTTCCAAATCTTCACCTTTTCTTTCTTACTATAATGAAGGAGCTTTTGCAAAGCACTCACATTAGACAAGAGGAGATGGAGGTTCTTTGCAATGAAGTAAGAAAAGACTTTGGGTTCTGGCTTGAATGTTAACTTATTACAATAGAGTATAGTTACAAAATGTGTATGAGACATGGGACTGGGGGTCGTGATTAATGATCTTGATAAATTTCAGTTTGATCACAGTGATCAGAAGTGAGCATATTTAATTGATTAAACATAGCAGAAATGTGTGTGACAACAGCCAATCAGAGTCGAGCTTTTCCTGCTCACTTCTGTAAGTTGCGTTAGAAGTAAACAGGGGAAGTAGACAGAATGACCGAACGTGGAGCTAAACGCGGAGCTCAGGGCAGCAAAATAGATACCAGCCATGACGTTGAGTCATCCTCCGAAGATGCCATTGTTGGAAAAAAAAAGGTATTTAATGTCAGTTGTGCGGCGGTGGTTCGATTATCTCCAAAGTGACAAACAATTTAGCTGATATGCAAGGTATGTTGGCAGTCAGTGTCCTCAAAAACCGTCAATGCGACAGATCTGTTTAATCATTCGAAGAAGTACTTCCTGAGTGTTTATGCGGAAAGCATGAAAATGCGAGCGGAGTCTGTACAGGCTGACGCTGCTGACGACACAAGTAGCAATCAATCGTATCATCTATGTTTACATCATCTAATGTTTACATTTTAAGGCGTCTTCATTATCCCTGAGGGGGCTATTTGCTTATTTTGGGTTTTGCATACCTGTAGAAACACTCAGGACTGTAAACTAGTTCACTCTATTATTTAACATTTATCCATGTTTGTTGTACTGTTGAGTTAAAATGTCCGTATTTTTTTAAGTTTATCTTATTCAATTTGCTTTGTTATTTACTTTGTATGTTAATGAAATGTTTAACTATCTCTAGTTTCATTAGTTTTTGGTACAGATGCTTTAAAACTGGCAGTTTAAAAAATACAAAAAATGATGGAGATCAGATGATAGGACAAAATATATCTTGATCATTTTTTTTGCCAAACTGCTCAGTCCGAATGTGACGTGACGAGAGATTCACAATGGTGATGTCAGGCTGCTAGACCAAAAAAAAGAAAAGTTGAACATTAACCCAGCCTTTTGACATTATTTTCCCCTTTTCATTTTTTTCTTTTTTACAATCTGGACTATGATATAACTTGGCCTGAATCACTATAAACACAGAGGTAAAGGAATCAATCCAGTGTGCAGCGAGGCTCCGCAATGAGATGAACCAACATCAGAGCCACAAATGTAAAACTAACAGCAGTCACATCATGTTTTAAATCCCCTCCTATGTTTGCTGTGCAGCTCTGCAGTGAGTGGCGTGTAAGATTTATCAATACCTTCTGTGGAAAGACAAACACTTTCTCTCAGACTCATGCATATCAAACACCTCCACACTGAGACATGTGACTGGCTGAGCTGTGTGTACTTATCAAGGTGTATGTTCAAGTATTCTGTGTTTAGATCCTTGTACAAGCCTAGGTGTGTAAGTTTATACATAATGTCTGCATGAGAGTACAAACAGTATAACATGTGTAGATACTGAGTCCTACTGTACCCAGTGTGTGTGTTTATGTGTGTGTAAAAAAGCAGGGTGTGCCACACAGAGCAGAGTATTGTGGGAGCTAAAACGCTGGCAGTGTCTGTGCGTTCAGCCATATGACATGATTTATGTGTGAGACACAGAGTGTAAATGTCCTGCCTGTGACCAGCAGACCAAACAACAGACCCAACCCCAAGACCAACCAAACTGATTATACACTGTTTTCCAACCCAGCTGTACTCTCACATAGACTCTCCCATCCTTTCTCACTGCTGCCTCCTCTATTCATCTCTTTCCATCTGTCTCTTCTTGCATTTTGTCTCTGCTCTTCCTTCGTTTCCCTCTTTCCCTCACCTTGATTTTCGTAACCTCAACTCTTGGACACTTTGGTACACATCCAGCCTCCAGCCATGTTAGTTCACAGTCAGAGCATTTCTTTGTATGTGTTGAAGGGGTGTTAAAGCATTTGCCCCTCTGTGCTCTTGTTACCTTTCATGGATTTATGAGTGGTAAGGGAATGGATGACTGAAAACACAAAGAAACCAGGATAATCGCAAAAAAAAGTGGCAAAGTAACAGAGTGCATTGTTTTATTCTCTGTTTAGGGGTACTAGAAATCCAGCAATCACAACCATAAAATTATACTGCATAGTGAGTGATTTGTTCTACAATTGAAAAACGGCAGGATGAATTTCTTTGAGAGATAAAAATACATCACTGATGATCAAAATTCTGATAAAGCATGATTATTTTTCATTGATGTGTAAGGTAGATTATCAGAGGTTCAAAATCCATAACGTTCACAAGCAATGCACTCCTGGAACAGGCCAAGTTAGTTGGAGAGCCTTGCATCCACTTTGTCACTTATTTGCATTGCACCAAGAGCACCATGGGTATAACTATGACACAACCAGCTACTACCACTGTTACTTTTTTTTTTTTTTATAAATCAAGCACGAGGAACATGAGGTGTATACGAAAGAGGATACGGGCCACATGAACAGAAAAAAACAATAATTACAGGAAGAAGATTAAAGTTGAAATTTTGTGATTAAAAAAAATCTAAACTATGCCAATAAGTCAAAATTTCAAATTGAAATTTCAAGATTAAACTCGAAATTTGAAATAAACACTCAAAATTCTAATTAAATGTGGCAGTCCTACAAGCTACCAGGGTGACGTCAATTTGATATTTGATGTTGCTCTTTTTTGCCAGCACTACCATCGACAGTTCTTTAAAAACGTTTTGACTTTTCAACCAAAACTAGAACGAGTCGAAGTTTTACATCCCCTAATGAAGGAAAAAAGCAAGTGAATTATTGTTTTCCTGACACAAGTTTCAAAAATACAGAGTTGTCCTTGGATTTTGCTTCTTCTTTACTGAATGTGAAAAAAATGAATGTAGCATCTCTAAAAGTTGCCACACAACTTAACTTATCTATAAAGAGAAACAAAAAGTGGATCAGCCATATCCTAACAGAGTAAAAACAGGTTTTTGTGCGGCACACTTTTCACTAAGACACAAAAATGATAGAACAAAATTTTTACTGTCAAAATGGAGGAAAAAAAAACATCATAACAACTACACCATTTGACAAGTGAGCAAAACTGCCTGCTGACAAAGGCGTCGTAATGTGGTTGAAAATTCCACAAACAGTGAATTTGGCCTTGTTTTTACAGTTTGTATAAACAGCTGCTTTTGTTCGTCCAAAGACCTTGAACCGCACAGTTTAAAGCTCAGCACTATACTTGTATTTGTCCCTGATGTTTTTGCCTTTCAGCAAAATATGTTAGTGTTTAAGAGACAAAGTGAAATGTGATGCACAGTCAGAGGAGAGGGAAGTCAAAAGCAGATAAAGTAGACAAGAGTCATGGAGGAGAGGGAGAGGACAGATATAAAGGACATAAAAGCAGATTAGGACAGAGAGGGATGTCAATGTCCATGTATCTGGGTGAGGGAGTGATGGGGAGTGGCAGATTGTGTGTGTAAATTACTGGTCGGCATGCTGAATATTTATGAAGCAGACAGAAGCAAAGAGAAGATTCAAAGTCCAGGTGTGAGACAGGGAGATGGACGCAGGGTGGAAATTGGAAGGGACAGAGTGTCACCTCTGATGGATAATGACAGCCCCAAGTCACAGATTAAAGGCTGGACAAGTGCTTCAATAATGTTAAAACCTCCACAGGGCTTTAGTCAGTGGAAGTAACCGACAGACAGAGGGCAGGAAACAGACTGAAAAAGAGGTGAATTAAAGGATGATGTGTAACAGAATGAGCACACGATAACTCCTTCATCAGATAACACTAGTCCACTCGTGGTGTGGATGATATTGACTCTGTTTTATGATGGACAGATAAGGATTAAGAGATTAAGAGTGAAGACATTCAAGCGATGATTTCACTCAAAGACAATTTTATTAGTCCTGTGTTAAATATAAATGTCTAGGGTAAGACACACTAGACCCTAGATGAGACACTAGCACAGGGTCAATAAGTATGAGATGATACTGGACAATGCAAAACAAAAAATACAGTCCCACACTATACCTCTACACATCACATTAACATATTAGGCCTACGTAGACTTGGGTAGTAATTAGTGTTGGACGGTATGATGGTATATACCATGTGACAGTATAAAAGTAAAAATTTTGCTGTACCGTTTATACCGGATAGTGGGAGCAGATGTCTGCTGCATCCCTCTGAGTCAGTGTGTAGTTGTCTGCGCTCACTAATAGGAAAGCCGGAGCGCATCCGATTGGGTGCATTTCCGTATATTCACCAGCGTGTCATGCAGAGTTTGTTCACTCTGTTTGATTAGTCAAGATTGGGTGCGCTCCCTATAATCACCAGCGTGTCCAGCAGACTGCTTGGCATAGTTTCGATGAGGGGTACTGATAAAGTTACATCTCCCAATATATTTCCAAAAGATCCACTGCCACTCATCCATTACTAATTAATCCAGAAAAACAGAGCAGTTTGTTTTTTTAAGTGAATGCCATACAATCTGTATTTACTTATTAAAAGTTCAGTTATGTCTAAAGGCAGATTGACCAATTCTACATTATAATCCAATAAAGACTGATGCGTTTTCTTTACTCAAAAATGTTTCAAAGACAGCTAGTTGTGTGTGAAGCAAATATTTCACAACGAGGGGTCTCTGGCATCCTTTATTTTTGATGATACAGCACTGCCTCTTGTAGTGTTGATGTGTTTTAACATACTATAATGATATGTACAACTGAAAATACAAAAATGTTTAACTGTGCAGTGACTCACTAAATAGTGCTTAGATACATGCAGTGGCACATATAGCTGTGTAAAATTAGAGCAGTGAGTTTCCTCTGGCAGGGAACCTCCGAGTTTGGGAGAGAAGCATCTGGACAATGTTGTCTCAAAGGAGCAGATACTGGCAACTAACTGAGGAGTCCCCACTGTGTCAGAGGACAGAATACAGAGCAGCAGAACCCCCATCCAGAAGAACACATCAGTCAGACAACTGGGGCCAAATCTCATGGCCAATGGAGCAACATATATAGAGCAGGATAGAGTTAGAGGGGGAGGGAAAAAAACTTTCACAATTTGGTTTTGGTTTTATTTTTTGTTTTTAATATACATTGTGTAGTTCATGTCCTATTTGTCTCTTCAGCCTGAATTTGTTGTCATTTAACTGGAGCAATGTACATGTTTTATATCAGTAAGTACGAAAAAGACAGGAGGAGCCAAATGTATCTAGCGGAGAGAGACAAACTCCCCCAAAGAAGGATGGATAGAATGAGGACAGCTCATGGACCAAGAGGAAAGCAGAGACAGCAGCTGTTTCTGCTTCCTCTCCTCTCTGAGCCCAGATACCAACACAGCAGGGCAGCACACCCAGGGGACAACCAAAAAAAGGCTCTTACAACAGGACCCAATCAGCAAGACGTATCATTAACAGGCTTTCCTCAGGTGTGCACTCCGCCAGGTCTGCCATCTGTATCCACATCTAACACCCAGCAAATTGTGTTTGAAATGAGCCAGGAAACGGCCTCTCCTTCTTTTAGGTCATTTTTATTGTTGTGTTATTGCAAATTTTCAGCAAGCCTCACCACATCAGGTCTCATTTTCTCAGTTTCCAGCAGTCTACATGAAGACGGTTTACCTTGTTTTTTCCAGCCAAGATATTACTTAGCTGTGTTGAAATTTGATGATTACCTTGCTATCAGAAACCACCTTGTAGAAAGTATGTTATAAGATTATAAAGTGGTAGGATTTTAAAAGGGTTATTTCCCTCCAAAGCCTCTGCATTTTTCGATGGGAATCTGGAGGCTGTCTGTGAGCAGAGCCTGACAGACCGAGGCATCACCAGGGTAGCTTACAGCGCTACCAAGCATTTACTGTGTCAATCTAAATACAAGACAACCCTGGTTGTGAGATGACCCCCCTTCTTTAAAGGGATATTCCAGCGTAAAATTAAGTTTAAGGTCAAACACACCATAACATAGAGTTTGACACCCCGACTAGGGATGAACATTGCCGACCGCTTGCTTCTCTAGTTATACCAACTTTAGTAACTACCGCACGATAGCAATACACAGAGCAACGTGCGAAACCAAAGGTGGTTCCATTTCCTCATGGAAATGCAATCAGACCGAAAAGGCAGAAGAACTACTGCGTCTGCTGTGCAAAATTATTAATATGATGATTATTGCTTCAAGGAAATGATAAAGAAATGATCATAAATGTTCTTACTTCAGCTGCGTCACCCCGCTGCAGTCGCTGGACTCGCCCAAGATCTCCATACAAACAAGCGGCTGCTGGAAGAGAGTGGGTGAGTTGTGTTTAGTCTCTTTGCTAAAGAAATTAGGCAAAGTTAAAAAGATGTTTGGTGGCTAGTGCTGTCTGGGACCCTATATGTACTGTTGATGAAGTTAGGTGCTGTTCTGAGCATTATTTGTGGCTATAGAGTGGCGTTTTGGTTAAGCGCATGGCTCCTGAGACTGCTGTGTATTGCTATAGTGTGGTCGTTACCAAAGTTGGTATAACTAGAGAAGCAAGCGGTCGGCAACATCTCTCGAGGGGGTGTCCAACTCTGTGTTACAGTGTGTTTGACCCTAAATTAATTTTATGCCACACTATCCCTTTAAAATTATTTTTTAGAAAAAGACCTTACAAAGACCAAAGCACTCACTGGTATCTAAATAAATGAACATTAAATAACTTATCAGATACATGACAGGTCTAATGGGCCTTCATTACTATTTCTTGTTGCAGTCCCACATATGAACTTTAGGTAAGAGATAATAAATGGTGAACATGCAGTAATAAAAGTTAAAAATGGAGTGAAGGAGAGAAGAACCTAAGCTAGCATGCTAAGAGAAACTCTCATTATTGCCACATTGTCAATAAGCAGACGTAAACTGTGCCAAAGCTATTTTTTGGGAATTGATTTGATGTGGCATGTGTGATCTGCTTATTCCTTGAGTTAATATCTGTTGCTTGTCAAGGGGTTTCTACTAATCAGAATCAAGTATTCAACAGCTGAATGGTGATCAAGAAAGGAGTTGTCTGTCCACTCCTCCAACCCCCCTCTGCCTGTTTAAGGAATGTGGCACATGATGTACAAATAAGGAGTAAATGATGATGTTTTTGTGGGTCAATAATTATGCCAGTTGTAAGAAGTTCATGAGACAAGTAACCAATAATTGAAACTAATATGAACTGACAGTAAAAAATGACAATATCTCTGTCGAAATTTAAGAATTTGGTGTAAATACAAACTCTAACACTGGACCTTTGTTTAAACGTCTTTAGCAAATGTTTTATCAGAAGTACAAAATCATATCAAGAATAAACAATTAACCAGTTACACTTACAGAGCAGTTACTTTGCACCACCATGGGACATTGAATGTTGTGGGTGAAATATGTGGTGAGATAGGAATGAGCATGGAAACACACCTTCATTGAATCTAAATTAGTAAAAGACTGATTAATTGTCATACAGAAATATCCATCTAAAATCAGTACTTGTCTTGCAGCCTTAGCATGCTGGAGATGAACAGGGCGGACTGAAGGGGAAATGGAAATATTAATATAGATGGCTGTTGCTGACAGCAGAGAGGAAAAGAAATAAACTGTCCAACCATAGAACGCTCTGTCGACGGTCTGTGCCCCCATCCTTATTATCAAGAGGACCCGTGTCAGGCCTGTCAGAGTGCTTCAAGTGTCTCGCTATCTGTGGAAATGTTTTAAGTAGGTGGTGATTCCATGCTCTCTTTTTAAAGCACTCCACACTTACAGAACTTTCTGGCCTGGCTACCTAAAATGTCACTTTGCCCTTATGAGTATACATTAAGAGCAAATTCCAAAAATGGCAGCTAGTGTATGGCATAATGTGCATTTATAATAGGGCTTGGTTTCTATCAGGGCATAAAATTACCCCATTCACCTGCCAAATGCTGTATAATTCTGGATGTGCTGGCTGACTAGGCCTGTCTTACTTTTACACTGGCAGCTGGCAAAACTGTTTTCAGACTGCACTTTACCCTTTTTTAAAACTGACTGTGATGCTAAAATTATAAATTGACTCTGGAAATTCAGTGTCCATCAGCCACCATAACAGAAGAAGTTTGATGGGCTGGTTTAACTTGTGCCTTTTACCCAAGTTATTTAATATTCTGCAGGGGGGTAAGTGCACAACCAGTGGATTGTTCCAGAGACCCAAAGCACTAGAGTTTGATGGGATTTTGTGGTCCAGCTCAGTATTGCTTTTATACTGGGTGGTGAACATCTAGTGCAGGATTCCTTGGTAAGAAGACTCAACTGTTTATCACTCTAAAGGAAGCCAACCAGCTTTTTTAAACAGGATACGTTGATATGTGAGCTTTGAGAGCAGAGTGACAGACTTGGTCCGTAGATTTGAGGGTGGAAGCAATAACATGTAGACAAAATGATCTAACACATCATCTACCAAAGGTTTGCAGAAGACATTCTTTCCACAGACACAAAACACCAAGATGTACATACACTTTTTATAGATAGACGTTTTATAGACTTTTTCATTGTAACTCTGAACCAGTGGTTACATGTCGACTGTTAAAATCAATATTTGGGAAAAGCTATGAACTTTCTTTCATTAGGATTAAGTACTCGGTTAGGGCCGATAAGAGTAATCTTAAGGGCTTTAATAAAGAGTTGTAGTTTCTCAATTGCAATTCACTTAGAGTCAGCAGAGCAATAAAATATGGTATCATCTGCATAAGAATTAATATCATCCCCCCAAA